AGATAGATAGATAGATAGATAGATAGATAGATAGATAGATAGATAGATAGATAGATAGATAGATTTCCCACGAATCAATATTGTTTTTCTGCACCCCACCCCCCTCACATGCTCCTACAAAAGAAGGATACACACCGCCACAGGCAGGGAACGACACACACATTTGTGTGTATGCAAAACTGTTTTGATCCCACRGTGATTGGGGTTGAAATCAGCCTGCTCTGTGTGGTTTATAATAATATGTGGCAGTTATTATCAGCTTGTCTGAACAAGCCGGGACAACAGCCTTTATGTCAGGGGTTTTGCTTTTGCAACCCTGTCTGTGTCCTTTCCTGCAAATGACATTTTGTTTAAATTYCTCGCGAAATGAGCGACACGCGTTTATAAATCTGGACCACATCCTGCTCTGACCGACATCCTGTCCGCCGCATCCTCCCCGCTGTCCACTCACCGATACGAGGTCTGCTTTCTGAACGCCAGTCCCCTTAGTTTCTCCTCCAGAGACTCCTGCTCCATGTCGGGTAAGCTGCTGAACGTGTCGCTGCAGCCCATGGAAGCCTCCTCCGAGCCCGCTCCGGACTCCGAGTCGCCCCCGTCGGCTCCCAGAGAGGCCGGGCGACCGCCGAATCCCCCCACCTCAGCCGGACTAGCGCGGTCCGTCGCTTGGGGGTCCATGCTGGTCGGTCTTCGCTGTCTTGCCCTGCGCTGGACCCCCCTCCCTGCCCCGGCTTGTGACGGGACACAGACGCCGGTGGTGTAGGTGAGACGAGGACTGAAATGTTTGCGGAAATATTTGCTTTTAATTGAAAATAAAAAACCGCAACGYTTCTGTTTGAGACCGCTTGACTGCTGAGCGCCGTGACAGTGACCGCTGAACGCCTTTTATATGCCGCAGCCAGCTTCAGCAGCACGCGCAGAACTGCTCTCACGAGCGCCTGGACCAACTGGCTGCAAGCTTAGCTGCCTGCGTCAAGCTGCGTACGTAGAACAGGAAGTGGAACGTCGTGCTTTCACAATAAAACATAATCATTTGAAACTACAGCAAAATCGCCGAATCGTTATTTTTCTTGGTTGGGTGGATGTTTTTCCTTAAAGATGGCTAATTTTGGAAAATCTGTTTTAGTGTAAGTAAATTCAACAAACAAACAAATAAATACATACATCCAAACAGGTGAGTTCCTCAGGAATTGTTCCTTGTAATTATTTTATRACAAAATTAAATGTATTGATTTTAACTGGATTACAATGTAATTAAGATGGAACATACTGAAATGGATTCATGTAACAATTTAAGCTGAACTTTAAACGAAGCACAGACTAAAACTAAAAGCTAAAATCAAAACAACACTTTTTATTTCTGTCACTTTTTTTCTTCTAATCTTTAAGCATTTTCTTGTGTGTATAATCCCAGGTGGCAACAAAATATCATTATGAAAACAAATTCTATTTTAGCTTAAATTTTGATTAAGTATATTCAATTCAATGACAAAGGCATCCTCATGTCATCATGGCATATCAATTGTACTAAGTTGAATAATGTTAATGTTGTATTTTAGTAATCATTTATAAATGCACATCAAAAACATTTTTTTTATTTTCAACTATTTTAAATCACATTTATTTTTACTATCCATAAAGGAAATGAAACTATTTTTAAAAAGTTTTATTTTGGAAAAACTATACCGGAAATTGATTATTTGCGAAATAACACGCGTTTCAAATCTGAAAAGTGCGTGAGCTGGTGCAAGGGCCGCGACAAAAAGCAGGTTTATTTATTACTAAATCCAGCATCCATCTTTGTTAATACTCATCCATCCATCCATCCATCCATCCATCTCAGGGGACAAGCAGTGTGGCATTATGGGATATTCCCCCTCCTCGTTTTATGCAGCATCATCAGTCAGAAAGTAGGGCAGAGAGTGAGCATACTCCCACGAACACATGTCAGCATCTCACTCTGAAACAAACACACACACACACACACACACACACACACACACACACACACACACACACACAGTGTCCTTATCTGCCATCATGTTAATATTCTCTCTTCCTCTCATCACAACATTTTGCAGCAGTCATCCACATCTGTCAGGATGATTTTGTTACTCGAGCATCAGGTTCATTAAGTCATCAATGATTTAAAAAACACCATTTTTCTGGCATAAAGCAAATTATTCAAACAGTTTAACTTCAGCCATCCAGACTGCATGGTTCTTTATTTAATGGACTATTAAGTTTCCATATAACAGATAATATTGAATAAATTCTTACATTCATCTGTATATTCTAATTCCAGGTTTCTGCAAGCTGCAGCCCTGGGGCCACTTTGTTTATAAACGTAATTTATATTCATAACCACAATAAAGGAGGTTGGCTTTGTCTAGCTTTATGCAAATAATGTTTCCATCACAAAATGGAAATTTGACAATATTTGATATGCAGTCATGGTGATCTAAAACAGGGCGAGTCAGATTGATGCAATGAGAATTTTAAATAATGATTTATTTTTTAAAAAATACTTTATAAAGAAGTTTGTGTAATGAAGAAACTGAACAAGTCACAGTTATATATTGAATTTCTTGAGGAAATGCAACTTTTAAATTAAGTTTCATCTCTTTTTGTCCAAATATATGTAAAAAAAATACCAATAAATGTCTAAAAATAAACTTGATTGCAGACTGTAAAGTTATATTTTGAGTATRAATAAATCCTAATTAAGTTCTGTGTACAGTAACTAGTGTTTCAGCTCTCATGACTCATGTTGGTGTCTGGAATGTGTTGTTAATATGAGAGGGAATTGTTTGGGAGCTGAGGATTGCCTTGGGATTGTCGGGGCAATTCACACTTCTCATTACGAGRCGCCGCTGCTGCTGACCTATTTTCATATCCTTACTGGTCACGATTGAAAAAAGAAAAAAAGCAGCTTCTTTATTGGGTGATTTGTTAAAAACAAAACACATCTCTGTTGGATGGAGTTTAACATTAATGCAATTTACAGCTGTGGGAGTTTACCAAGAAATATGTGCATTTTAGTCAACTTAATTTAAATCATGTGCTCTGTAAAAACTCCCTTTAGTGTTACTATTCTTAAAATCTAACTGCTGCTAATTTCCAGYTCAGTTTATCCGACTGCTGCACAGAAGGCAAAAAGATTATCACAATATTTAGAGTTGTGTCTCTGATACGCAGCAAACGCTTTTCCTGTCCTTCATGGGTTTACAATGATAACAAAAGGAAACAGACGTAATTAAAACCCATTTGGGAAGCATCAGAGCTTGTTAAAGCATTTTGGATTAGGTTTGGAATGGGAATGGTAGGGATCAGATGGTCTCGGCCTCAGAATTTGTTGGTATTTAATTGAATCTATTCTTTTCACGAGATAAATGTCTGAACGGCTGCAGCACAAACCCACAGCGTGACTGATTCAGACAGAACAGCTGGAAAAATAAAATAATAAAAAAAATGCATTTTACCAAACTGCAGGATTTGTTGTCTAAATGAACCTATTTAAGAAATGTAAACGTCTCATGTTGTGATGAAGCCGCTGCAAAGATGTTCATCTCATGAGCATGAGGGTCAGTTTCCTCAACATCTTTGCACAAAACAGCACAAACAGCCCAAAACAAGGCCATCTACATTTGGTTAGTTATTTATTTGTTGTTACTATGTATAAGTTCATTGTGTGGCCCTTTAATTTTCTTTAAAAATAAATAGTTCAAATCTGTGGAAATGACTATTAGAGAATTTGCATTTCTGCAAAAACGCAGCGTGAATGCTTAATGCTGAAAGGTTTTCACAGAAGAAATATAAAGAGAAAAGATGTGCAAAAGGTAAAAATAGCAACAACAAAAGACAAATAACTGGGAAAGCCAAATCTAGCATAACAAATAAAGTAAAAATAGCCTGTTAGATGAATTAAAGGCCGTGTAAAGTAAAAATAAATGTGTTCTGAGGTTGTCACACCACAGAAATATGTGTTAATAATCACCCAGCC